TATATATATATTTATATATGTACATATCCTATGTACATATATACTGTACATAGACACATTATGTATATAATTACTTAACATTTTTAACAACGATTTTTTTTTTACATTTAAATATGCTTCGACAAATTATCTATCAAACAAAAAAAAAATAATGTCAAAACAATTAGACCAGCAGTTAGGGGTTAAAAAAAAAACCCCCGACAACTGGAATTCCCAGCCCAGGAACAGAACAGTATACCCCGATCGCTGGTTGGATTAAAATATATAAATAAATATATAAATAAATATATAAATATATAAATAAATATATAAATAAATATATAGATAAATACATAAATGAGACAGGGAAGAGATGTCACAGCACAAAGACGAGCTAAGGGCCAGAAGGTTACAGAAGGCCCGCAATACGTGAATAAGTGATCTTCCAATGGTGCAGTAAAACAGCGATTATTAATGAATAATTATTTTTATTTCGCAGAGCGTAGTGTGGTATATGTGCTAGCCAATATTGCCACATCGTCCATGAGGTTTAAGTGCTCTGATGAAGGATTTCGTCACCGGTTGGTTTCCATTTTGGACTTTGACTCAACCTTGTCTGTCGTTAATGTTTCAGTATTTGTTGACACACATGTAGCGTCAGTATATTGTAGCATGATTTATAGGAGGCAGCGGCCTCACCGCTACTTTAGTTGAAATAGAGGAATCGCATTCCTGTCCTCCGAACGGATGCTGACACTACCACATTTCATAGAGGACATCTTGAGTCCTCACTGTCACTGATGTCTCTTCTGGTAACTGGATATGGAAAATAATGTTTCCTATTTTATCTATACCTATAGAACCTAATCTAATTAAACACATTCTGGCCTCAAGACAAGAATAGACATCACTCTCAGGCATGTGCAAAGTAAGGCCCGGGGCCCGGATGTGACCCGTTCAGCTTTTTGATCCGGTCCGCCAAACTTTAAAAAAAAATTATATATTTTATTTATATTGTCATTATACTTCTGCCTTCTCCCTGCAATACCCACGTTTCCCCAATAGAGGGCGCTAAAATGCTTAAAGCATTTTAGCCTTTATGCATGACTTTTCTATCTGCTCCTGACCCGGAGGTTATTTGCTGCTTTATTAGAAACTAGAATATGGTATATATATATATATATATACATATATATATATATATAATTTGAAGATCTATCTATCTATCTGTCTATCTATATATTAATAGTTTGAATGTAGATGACCTAGACAGATAAAGTCATGGAAAGATATGGCGATTTACTGTCTGCAATTAACCCATATATGAAGTACTTAACTGATTCGTACAGAGGCACGAGAGCAGTAGGAATCTTTTTTTTTTTTTTTTTATGGCTCTAAATACTCAGAACCTTTGCAGTAATTACATCAATATAAGGGTCTCTATTAATACCAGCACTATGTGTCTATAGGTGCTTGGCTAATATATGATGCTTTCATGCTTTCTCTGTCCTCGTTCCAATCAAAGAAAAAAAAATTGCTTTGCATGGTGAACTTTAATATCACATTTTAGCAATAAGAACAGATGTAGAAACAAAGCGGCTCTATCGCCTAATTCAAGCGGGGGAATAAGTCCTTCGGCAACCTTAGCTGAACCTGTTAAGTAACGCGACGTAAACATTACTTATGGATGACCCTGTGGGTAAGCGAGAGAAGGGATTTCAAGGATACAGTCGGTGAGAATAAAATTTAGCGGGCACTCCGAAGTAGAGATTGCGGTTTTTTTTTTGGTTTATTCTTTTTTTTTTATTTAACGTTTTATATTCCTCAGATTACGACAGATATTATTTACTGACGGTTTTAGTCTCTTATAACTACTACGTCGCATCAACTGTAACGCCCCGTCATATTAGTTTAAGATATGTTTAAGATGTGCCTGTGCAGAAGTCTGTGAAGCCGATACATTGTTACATGTTACCGTTAACGGAATTTGAATCAATAAAGTTGATGTGAGGACGCATTACCACTAACCACAAATGCACCATAAGAAACTATGGATGACAAGCAGCGCGAAAGTACGTGATAAACCGTTTACACTTTTACCATTGGTATTATCATAAAAACATTTCTTTTAGGAACTATTGATGACATTTTGTTGCACTCTTCCGAAACTTGGACGTGTGATTTGAGGAGATAATCTGAGTTATTTGTAGTTTCATATTTTAGAACACACCAATGGATATGATCAATTCCAAACAATGCTTTGTGTGTACATGCTTGCACATAAACAGACATTAGGAACCCTCCAAGCCAAGCAGGGGCAAACTATGGCCCGGGGCCCGGATGTGGCCCGTTCAGCTTTTTAATCCGGCCCGCAAAACTTTTCCAAATGATATCATTTATTTGTATTATTATTATATGCCTTTTTGCTGCAATACCCACGTTTCCCCAATAGATGGCGAGGAAACTGATAAGAGCATTTTAGCCTTTATGCATGACTTTTACATTTTTAGTCATTTGTCTTGATATCACACCAACGCTCCATCTATCTGCTCTTACCCCCCCGGTTCAATTTTAGGATAATTGTAGCATGCTCCGAGCCTTTGACGGGTATGAAGCGCCTCATCGTCATCGTGTGTCCCAGAGGTCACCGCGGATGATGGCGTTGCATAAATCCACCGTCGATGCCGTTAAACGCTCACCGCAGATGGAAGTTACACAACGACTGCGGGCTCCTTCATCCTTTAAACCCCCTGCTAAAATGACACTGCTGCACGGATGCTAGTCAAGTGTTGGCCTCATAGGAGCGAAATAAGCATTAAGGATAATGTAACACACCTTCATTATCAATCAATAAAAATGTCAATCATATCTCAGAAATAATTTAAAAAAATCTAACCAGAAATTTAAGCTCAACGTTACGGCCTGTTGATCGGTGAACTTAGTTAAGAATAAAAATAAAAAAAAATATTTGCAGTTATTTCATTCAAATAAATGATTTTTCGATGAGTCGTCGTCCTTTAACAACAATAACAGGAGCAAACTCTATTTTTCAGGAATCAGATTTAAAGCTAAAGCTAAAGCACGATTGGTTAGTTTTAGACTTATTTAAATGTAAAAAAAAAAGTAAAATAAAATAAAACAAAACAGAGAGCAAAGGGAATACTGGGATCAATGTGTACTACGTGTACCCACTACTACTACTACTACACTGGCTGTAGAATAAAGTTCACAGAGACACGCAGACCCACGAGGGTCAGATAACCATGAAAGAAAATAACGTATACCAACACGTGCACACCAAATACCGCACAATATATCGTACGATATCGCTACGATTCTTCGGTAACGATTAATATTATATATATATATACCACTCGAAATATCCCAAATATAAAGTATAAAGTAGTAAAGTAAATTCTCTATGATCGATATAAAAGAAAGCCTCGCGATAGTTAAATGGAAATATTGAAATATAAGAAGTTTTTTTTTTTTTTTTTGAGCCACAAACTGAACTGAAACACACCGGTCCTACCTTCCCTCCTCATGCCGACCTTCAGGCACTTCTTCAGCCTGCAGTACTGGCACTGGTTCCGGTGGTGCTGGTCGATGGGACAGTCTCGGTTCCCTCGGCAGGTGTACGTAAGGTTGCGCCTCACAGAGCGCTTAAAAAAGCTTTTGCATCCCTCGCACGTGAACTGGCCGTAATGCTTCCCGCTGGACTTGTCCCCACACACCATGCAGTCCACGTTAGGGATCTTGTCCCCGGACAGTGAGTCGTTCCCCGGCGTGGAGCCGTTGGGTGTGCCCGGTGTCCCGCCAGGCTCCTGGCCGCAGATCTGCAGCTGAGACCCCGGATCTGCAGAAATGTTGTCTGGCCACTGGTTTACTACCATTGCCATGCTATCAACTTGACAGTTTTGGGTTTTTCTTTTTCTTTTCTTTTTTTTCTAATTCACAGAAAGTAGAGTTGGGGTTGGTTATTGATCCGTCCTGACGTCTCGGAGGGAGATGAGGGGGGGGGGGGGGGGGGGGTTATTGATCCTGGTCCTGACGTCTCGGAGGGAGATTTTTCTTTTCTTTTCGTTTATTTATTGATTTACCGCCGTTCTTCTTCGGGGAAACATATATTAAAGTTCACAGCGACGCAGGTGTATCAACATGATCCGCCGTGAAAGACAACAGTTCCCCCGGTGATGGTCGCCGCGCTATCCATAAACACGCTTTCTCACAAGGTGATCTCTTGTAGAAGTCACTGCAGTTAGCGGCGGTGGAGGAGAGCGGTGGGTGGTGGGTGAAATTGATTAAATAAATTTCGAGAGAGTCTTTTAAAGGAAAAAATATATATATATATAACGGACAACACCACTGCGTCCGTCTGTGGGCTTTTAAAGAAGCCCCAGTTTGAATACTGACCAGATTTCGTTGTATTTCGTCCACCCGATCCTCTCCCACGTTTTTTTTTTTTTTTTTTTTTGGTGTACGTGTGTTGAGGAAAGCAAGTCCAGAACGGAGCGATTCTTTTTCCTCGATCGTACGTGATCTTGTTCTGCGCACCGGGTCGTGTGCGATCTGCGGATCCGCGCGTGAAATGAAATGAAGGGAAGGAGGAAAAATAATCGGCCAGGAGAGACAGTTGCGCGGCCCCTTGAGCGTTGATGCGTGCAGCGTCAGACTCCAAGCTCCAGTTGTGGGAGAAAGTGTCACTAAACAAGCCGCCTGATATCCCTGTGCCCCGCCCCCTCTCAGACGGTGCTCCATATAAGGACATAACTGCCAAATTAGGTCGTACCCCTTGGGCTCGCAATAAGAAGCGAACGTTCAAAACACGTTTCCGGATTGGGCACTTGAAAGAATATGGATAATACAAGGGGTGAGCTCTCTGATTGGTTAATTAGGAGCGTCAACAGAGAGAGCGAAACGAGTTCGAGATTTCGAAGAAGTATTTACTTTTTGTTTTTGAAGAGGTCAGGCGTGGTCATGCGGTACCATAATTGTCCAAAAAAAAAAAAAAAAAATTGAACAGGAGGGGCCGGGGAAAATAAATAGTAAAAAACCAGCAAAAAGGCCCAAAAACACAAAAATA